AGCACAAATAAAAGCCTGACAACGCTAAATATTCAGTTTTCTGATAATAATTCACATATGCAGGCCCAGGGAGAAATAAAACTTAAGCAAGAAAACTGGGATGAAAGTCAGCTAAAACGTTGAATGTTAAAGCATGTGTCTTCCCTAATAGAAAAAAAAATATTGGAAAGACACAAAAATGTCTCTGCAGAAAAAAACCTCCAGATGAATTGAAATTGGATGTCTTCACTTCTGCCATAATGGAGACCAACAAGTGATGAGCGGTAATGGTGGCGGCACTAGACATGTGATGGATGAAAAAAAGAAGAAAAAAACTGTTTTACAAATCATGGAAATGGGAAAGAACCTTTTTTCCCAAATGGACAGTCACCAAAAGGTCCAAAAACAGACTTCACTGTTCCTGTTTGTGATGTTAAAAGAAACCAAATTCCCTTAAATAGCACTGTTGGATATCTTTATAAACAAATCAAACTGAAGATGTTGAGATTTGACATTTGCACTAAACAGGAGGTGTGTGTCACAGACGGAGAATCTTTATCTGATGGAGAAAAGAGGAATATAATGAACACTCAACACTTGATTAGACAGTGATACCGAGAGACCGGCTGATGAACTGTTATCGCATGGATGTGACAGTGATTCACAGGATTCAATCACACATTTATTGATGACGGACTTTTATCTAAAAGAGACACCAAGAGGAAGGTTAGTAAAATCACACATGTTTAAATACAGTGACTGAATTGTTGTAAATGTGGTTAATTTAGCTGAGTGTCTGTTAATATTACTGATTTAGCTGAATCTCTGAGTTCATCATGTAATGTTATTGCCTGTTCTTCAGAGAACTAGAGGAATGGAGGATGTTCCTCAGAGCGGTTTGACTTTAGAGACCATGAGAGTCGAGACACCAGCACTTCACACCGCTCCCGTTCATCAGCAAATGTTCCCAGAAGAACACACACAGTCTCACACACTCACACACACCTCGAGTGACGAGGAGAAGTGTGCAGAAGAGTCCACAGCATTCACATGAGCTCTGTGATGAACAACGAAGCAGGAATTCAATCAGATTCCTCCACTACACATCAACACATTAGAAACCCTTGCAGATGAAGATGAGGAAGACACAGTTGAGTGAATGATGAAGGTGATGAACTTGGACAAACAGATGAAGATCAAACAATCGTGGTGACATCTGAACGAGAACATCACACTGGTAAATGTGCTCCTAATACACCAAATGTCTCAGTATAGATGTGGAAAAAGGAAATATTCAGACTAAAAGCATTAAACGGGAGTTATAAAATAACCTTAAAACTATAATGTATATCCTAATTATGATAGAAAATAAGGTCGCAATACATACGATGTCCCGCTTTGTGCTTCTCACTCATCACTAGACAACTGTTACATGATCTACAGTGACACTTTATGTGTGTGTAACAGTGTGTGTCACTTGTATGTTGTGTGTGTGTGTGTGTGTGTGTGCGTGTGCGTGTGTGTGTGTGTGTGTGTGTGTGTGTGTGTGTGTGTGTGTGTGTGTGTGTGTATCCTCCAGAACGCAGAGCTGAATGAAGCTGAAACTGAGGCGTCGCCACTCTCCAGTAATCCTGCGCCGCTGGTAAGAGACTCAACATGTTCATGTCATGTGAAGCCCTTTACATAATAGATCATCAGTCCTCATACCTGCACTGACACTGCAAAACTACGGAGCCCCTCTAGTCCCACTTTGGTAAAAAAAAAATTAATTATAACTATCTTGTGGCCTCAAGATACTAACTGGTGGCCACGAGTTAGTATCTTGAGGCCACCAGTTACTATCTTGTGGCCACGAGTTACTAATCTTGTGGCCACGAGTTACTATCTTGTGGCCACGAGTTACTATCTTGAGGCCACGAGTTAGTATCTTGAGGCCACGAGTTATTATCTTGAGGCCACGAGTTAGTATCTTGTGGCCACGAGTTAGTATCTTGAGGCCACAAGATAGTTATAATTAATTTTTTTTTACCAAAGTGGGACTAGAGGGGCTCCGTATACCATAAATAAAAGGGGTCATATGTTTCATGTGGTAACGAACGATTTATTTAACACGAAATCAATGTAAAATAATGTAATGCAAAGTTTTCCTTTGACTTGAATTAACTAGAATTAGGTAGACATTTTTAGGTAGAAATAATTAACAGGAGTGTCATTCTCACCACAGTTCGATCAAGACATTGGACTTTTTAAAATTACATAATGTATTTGTTTATTTTAACAAATCGGGAGGCAGTATACAATACACAGAGAATGATACAATCAATTTTTCATAATTTTCCCTTAGTTTATACATCCAACAATATATTTCATTTTAAAACTACATGTTTGCCAGAGGTTTTCAATTATTTATCAAAGGATTTTAATCAATGCAAATAATTTAATAAAAGGTTAACAGGGATGGGCATAAATACATAAATGTATTTAAATACAAAATACTGTGTGGAAAAATGTATTTAAATACAAATGAAGAGTTCAGATGCAAAAGCCTCTAAACGCCATTTGAAATTTTCTTCTAAAATGACCATTTTTATCTAGCTTGTATATTTAAGTTCAGTAATTTCACTTAAATGACAATTAATAGGTAATCTTCATTGCCATTTAAGTGAAATTATTGAACTTAAATATACAAACTTGATAAAAATGATCATTTTAGAAGAAAATTTCAAATGGCACTTAGAGGCTTTTGCATCTGAACTCTTCAAATACAAAATACTGTGTGGAAAAATGTATTTAAATACAAATACAGTATTTTGTATTTTGAAAATACAGAAAATACATGTGAAATTTGCAATTCAGTGCAGGCATCCCTATTAGGCTGAAATCTATCTGGGCCTATTCTGAATGCCAACAATTATTTAGATGTGTGCAACTACTTAGAAACTTTCGTTTTCATTTTATATACCTCTTCCCTTCCCCAGCCCTGTAGGAAATACAAAACTTTTAACATCTTTTATATGTTTTATCACCACCATTACCTCGCACTCAGGAACAAGAACTCAATAACACAAAGTCAATTAAATTTTAAATAACTGATGGTGTATTCCTCCAGGTGGTGTACCTATGTGTTTCAGACATCTATCTATTCGATTCCCTTTAGCACCACCAGCTTTTCAAAAAGTTTGGGTTTAAGACGTCGTCTGTCTGGCCTATTGATTAAACGGTAACACTTTATTTGAAGGGGTGTGCATAAGACTGAAATGACACTGTCATAAACATGACACTTTTAATGCAAAGTTGACATTGTTTAAAATGTCTTTGTTATGAAAACTTGACATTAACCAAGACAAAAATGTCTTGATTATGACAACTTGACATTAACCAAGAAATCATAACCTGTCACAAATGTCATAACAGGTCTAATTATCAAACTTAAAGAAGTTATTTAGCTTTGCGTTAACATTACATTACTGTCATATGTGGTTGGTTTTGACTTTGGCCGTCATGACACCATTATAACTGTGACATGAATATTTTACTTGTCCTCAAGTAAAGTGGAACACATTGTACTAGTTATAAAGATGTCATTAAGGGTTATTACACTGTCAAATGTTTTAACAACAGTGTCATTAATATTTCCCCTTACCTCAAGTAAAGTGGAACACGTTGGACTAGGTATAAACATGGCAGGTTGACAGGTTATGATTTCTTGGTTAATGTCAAGTTGTCATAACAAAGACATTTCTGTCTTTGTTATTGTCAAGTTGTCATAATCAAGACATTTTTTGTCTTTGTTAATGTCAAGTTGTCATAACAAAGACATTTTAAACAATGTCAACTTTGCATTAAAATTGTCATAATTTACCGAATGACACTTAATGACAAAAGTCATAAACATTCATAAAGACTCCTTCATGTTCATGACAGGTGTTATGTCATGTTTATGACAGTGTCATGTCAGTCTTATGCACACCCCTTCAAATAAAATGTACTGATTAGACCCGCAAAGGAAAACAAGCGCTCTACAGGAGCTGAAGAAGGAATGATTGTGTTGAACCTCACAAACAGCTGTCTAATAAGTGGATACTGGTTCAAGATGTCCAAATCCTTCCTCTGATCTTATAGGATTCTGGCTCAAAGTATTTTGAGTATTTTGAAAATACAAAAATACTCATCCTAAATGTATTTAAATACAAATTACATTTGATTTTTTCCAAAGGCTTTAAAATACAAAATAGTATTTTGTATTTCAAATACGTATTTTAAATACATGTATCTGAAATACTGCCCATCCCTGAAGGTTAACAGAAATGAGATAATTAACAGCAGTGTAATGCACACAATTCACCACAGGAGGGCGTTTAGACGTGAGTCTTTAAATTGATATTACAGATATAAGAATATATTTCCATTAAACAAAAGCGAACTTTTCTAGATTTTTTTTACTATGTCGCTTTAAATTAATAATTTATCAAACAATGTGAAATAAATGCAAAGTAAGTGCAGAGTTTAGTGCAGTTCCCTTTCGTAGTCACTTCGAGTTACGTCAGAAGTGACGGAGATTGGGGAATTTCGCATAGAAAGCCAATCCTCTTCGAGTATTTAAACACGAGCCAATGGCATGCACTGTAAAAAATTTCCGTAAAAATACGGTACAATGTACCATATAAATGTGAAGGATTTTTTCCGTATTTGTCTTTTACGGATCTTTTACCCTTATTTTGAATTTCGCGTTGCATTGTGGGAACAAGATCCCGGCAGCGCGAAAAGTTTAAGACGCATCCGCCATTACACACGCAGATGACCGCGGGCAAGTGCTTTTTAGAGCCGGATTTCGGGTGTGTGGAAGCCATTCTGACACTTATGTGGTAAAACTTAAACTTAAAAACACAAATTATGTTTTGCTTGATGTCAAAAAAGCTGTTAACGTAACGTTATTTTTAGTTACCATCTGGCATTAACTGGTAGGCAAATGAATGTCGGAGCCGTCACGTTTATCATTTTATGCATATCGTCGTCACACATTGAAAGAGTTAGTTAAGACTCGTGGAGGTTCTCGATTGTAGTGTCCTTGTTGTAATGGGCTTATTTACTTTTATTTGTCGTGATGCGGTTTATTTCTTGCCGAGCGAATCCGTTAACTAGTTGTGATAGTTCTAACGTTAGCTAGTGTTTTTAGAGCAATTTAATGCCTTCAAGCAAAAGCAACCAGAGGAATCGTCAAGAAAAGTAAACGCCATTAAGACTTGCTTGATTTGAAAGGCATGAAGACACAACGTGAAGAGACTGTTTGTGAATATGCAGTAACTTGACCGCTACAGCTGGATCAAGGAAAACACCAGCACCTTTTCTGCAAAATGAGGTAAGTTAACGTTATGTTTACGTTAGACTTCATGTTTTTGTTTTAGATGACACACACGACTTTAAACCCCAAATAATGAAAGATTAATTTACATTTAGCATGACTGCTATTATCTAAACTTCTGCCTGTAATGTTAGTCATTCTTTCCCTTCTCATTTGTTCATTTCATAATGTTTCTGTTGTTTTCTTATCTATTAACAGGACTTTTCTGCTGTAGTTTACACCCCAAGCACCACCTGCATGCTTCTTATGGTTTGTATTTTGTTTTATTAGCATTATTATGAATGTTCAATACTGGCAAAACGCATTTGAATTTAAAGTCTGAAGAATAAAGTCTGTTTATAGAAAAAGTTGGTTGCTGAATACCCCTTCAAAGATATTTATGTTTACATGGTCGGTAGAAATACAAATTGTATAGGGAAGATTTAAACAACTATGTTTAAAGCGTTTTTTTGAAGTGATCGTGTTATGTTTTTCATTTAGTAATATCTTTTTCTGTTTCAGGTGGTGGACATTCAGGGTTGCTGTCATTCAAGAAGTTATTGACCACATCTCCTACCCTATTGAGGCAGTAAGATGCAAAATACCTGAAGAATATGGCACTTATCCTGGAGTTCATATAAAGGTAAGCAACACATTTTTAATCAAATTATTTATAGAACATGTTATTGTGATTCTGTTTATTTAGTTGAAAATAATGAAACATATTAGAATGTAGCCTATAGTTGAGCATGCAGACAAGCTGACATGACATGCAATTGGAGTCCACTGGAAAAAAAGTCTTAGCATTTTTTAAACAGTGTTTGAATTTGAGAGAATTAGGAATGGCTGATAATTTTTTTATAGTTGATAATTTAGTGAATGTAAAATACTGTACATTTGTTTGTCAACCTCAACCTGGTCTACATGATACTTTGTAGTTAATTTTCCTTCATTTAATTTCTTGTGTAGCTAAAAATATATCCTTTTTTTTTTTCATTTCCAACTTTCCTGTGTAGAAATCCTGAACGAAGGTTGAAAAGGCTGAGATGAAGGAAACGTCCCCATTCCTCCAAAACTGCTGAAGTTCCTGTATGAACAACTTCGAAAAACCAGGTAAAGTTTCAAGCTTTTGTCAAATCTCAAAATGGAACTTTAACTGAACATACCGAAAAATGAACGTTTTTCATGCAAGTTGTTAAGATCTTAAAGGGATAGTTCCAGTGTTGGGAGTAACGCATTACAAAAGTAATACATTACAGTAACATATTACTTTTTGCTGTAACGCAGTAGTGTAAGGCATTACTAATCAATTTTCAGTAATATTTTACTCGTTACATGTTCAGTGAGGCTTGTATTACAGTTGTATTACAGTGTATTGTCTGCTTTTACTTCTTAAAGGCAACAGACTATGTGAAAGTTTTAAAGCAGTCTTTTATTGCCAGTTCAGAGCGGTCGCGTCTGTAACATTGTTTTTTCCTCATAAATGCGAACACGAAAACTAAAATAAAATGAATATTTTAAGTTCTATGGAGACTGGAGAGCCAACCCTTCCTCATCCGATTTGCGCAGTGTAATTAACAGAATTACAAAAAATGTATTTTGCCTCCTATTTTTTGTCACGCATGAATGTGTGTCTTTTCCCTAATATTAAAAATAAAACATAGACTGATATTTGTCTAATGTCTGGAGTCCTTTAAGGAAGTAGCCTATATACTACGTTTCAATACATGTATTTTCTGAGAATTTTTATTTCAAGTTTCGACTGCAAATGTCATGTCCATAATGCTGGACTTCCCCAATTTTAAATAATTTATCCTCAACTAGTTTTGTGGTGTAGGTCTACGTATTTTATAATGTTAACTTCAAATAATACTAATAGCCTAATTTAAAGATAAGGCAGCATTGGATCTGGACGGTAAGGAGAATAACGCTGGAGTTGGAAGAGGTGTGTCGGGATTCTGTTCGTGGATCTGAGTCGTGTGGTGAATCGCGATTTCGGTTTCATATTGCATGTCGTTACAGCCCCAAAGTTCAGTTCTACTTAGTTATTTTGGTGAAAGTAACTCAAAAGTAATACATGAGTAATGTAACGCATTACAATTCTGAGACAGTAATATTGTAAGGTAATGAATTACTTTTAAATAACAGTAACAAGTAATACCTAATGTATTACAGTTTGGAAGTAACTTGCACAACACTGGATAGTTCACTTTGAAATACATTTTTGAAATCTTTTATACCTCAAGGACATCCAAAATGTAGGTGTCTTTGTTTCCACAGTATTTTCAAGTTTGATATTTTTAGGTCAAACCGTTCTTGTCTGTCAGTCATATAATGGAGGTTTATGGGGTTCACCCTGGGTCCCCCTAAAGAGCATGCACAGAGACGTCCAAATTAAACATGATTTAATGACTCGTGAATGTAAGTACACATTGATGGCCTAAAACACGAAACGAGCGGTTTGTGTGAGAAAACGAACAGTATTTAAATTGTTTTTACCTCTTGTAATCACAGCCACGTCCAAGTGATCTGAAGGATCACTTCCGGCGCACTTGCGCAGACCGAAGCGCCCTGTGCCTTCAGATCACTTGGACGTGGCTGTGATTACAAGAGGTAAAAACAATATAAATACTGTTCGTTTTCTCACACAAACTGCTTGTTTCGTGTCTTAGGCCATCTATGTGTACTTGCATTTAGGAGTCATTGAATCATGTTTAATTTGGACTTCTCTGTGCATGCTTTTTCAGTTTCACTTTTTCAGGGTGAACCCCATAAACCTGCATTATATGACTTACAGACAAGAACGGTTTGACCTAAAAATATCAAAATTGAAAATACTGTGGAAACAAAGGCACCTACATCTTGGATGCCCTAGAAGTAAGATAAAAGATATCAAAAATTAATTTCAAAGTGAACTATCCCTTTAATGAAATCTGAGAGCGTTCTCTCCCTCTGTTGACAGCTCTCCCTCTGCTTACACCTACCACTTCAAGCTTCAGAAAGATAGTAAGATCATAATAAAAGTAACACAGTGTTAGAGTCCTATCCAAATGTGATGCGATAAGATTCTAGCAACAAAACATTTGTGCCACTTTATAAATTTGGGGTTAAACCACTGGAGTCACATGGATTACATTTGTGTCTATACCTTTCTGAAACTTGAAAGTGGTAGTTGCCTAAGCTGTCAATGGAAGGACAGAAATCTCTCAGAGTTCCTCAAAAAGATCTTAATTTTTGTTCTAAAGATGAATGTAACTCTTGTGAGGACGTGTGGAACAACGTGCGTGTGAGTAATTACAAATTAAAATTTTGGGGTGAGCTTATGCTTTATGTAATATTGTGTTCTCTTACAGAAAAATGGCATCAACACTAACATTTCACTCTTCTTTAATCCCTAGCTGGCATCTTGGGGAGGACGACCTCGCATCCAGTATGCTGCTGTGGGTGCCGCAGGATTTCGAACTCATTCGATCACTTGTCTCTATGCTTTTCGAACTGTGGCGACTAATCGTGCCTTGCTGTGGGTCAAGCCGCTGGATCTTCAGATCTTCTTCGATTTGCTTAATCCATCCTTTTTTTGGGTGCAATGCGCTGGATTCTACACTGGGTTGGACGTTTCCTCCAGAGGACTTGTGTGGTATTCAATTTGCATCCATTCTGCATGTGTCCAAACATTTCACTCTATTGACTAGAAGTCTAAAGCAATTTTTAAAAGCAGAAGCCTTATCTTCATTGCATTTTGTTTGTTTCTGTATTGTATCGTATTCTATTAGTATTGCATTTGAAAATGTTTTGAATCTTGACTTTCACAGTTTATGAAGGTTTTTTTTTTTTCCATTTTTTTTAAATAATTTTGTGAGCTATTTGGTACAACACCAATATTGTGCAAGTACCTGCTCGTTTTCTTTTTTTTTTTTTCATTTCTCCCATGTTTGTTTAATGTCTTAACTTTTTCCACAATACAAGCACTTTTTTATGGTGCTTTGCACATTGTTAAATTGTGTGTGTCTGTCTGTGTATATCAATTTTTACCCATTGAATGCGTTTTAAGAATGTTTACATGAAATTTTTACAGAAAAATAAAACGTGTTCAATATGTATATATTGTTCTTGAATTATTTGCTACCAAAATATATGCTATAAAAATAGAAATTTCTGTATAAGGATTATCCGTGAATAGTACAGAAAATACGGAATTTTCCATTTTAGGTTTGACGGAAATGTCCGTCAATGGTACAGAAAAACTCATGTAAATCTACGGAAATTTCCGTTCTAAGGTTTACGGAAGTGCCCGTACAAAAACGGAAAAAGTGCTGGTAATTAATTACCAGCACTTTTTCCGTTTTTTAACGGAGATTTTTTTAACAGTGTGCAATTGGGTCATCAGAACGATCAGATTCGGCTACGCGATTCAGTTCGCACGGTCTCCTCCCCGCTTCTGGGGAGTTCGCTCCACGATGGTCGGTGGCAATGCCCCAGTCTTGAGAGCGGAGATTGCGACCCTGCTGGCGAAGGGTGCAATCGAGACGGTCCCTCCAGCCGAGGTGAGGTCCGGGTTTTACAGCCCCTACTTCATTGTCCCCAAAAAGACCGGTGGGTTACGGCCGATCCTGGACCTGCGCATTTTGAACCGTTCTCTCCATCGACTACCGTTCAAAATGCTCACGGCCAAACGCATTTTCGAATGTGTTCGGTATCAGGATTGGTTTGCAGCGATCGACCTGAAGGACGCGTACTTCCATGTCTCCATTCTCCCTCGACACAGACCGTTTCTTCGGTTTGCCTTCGAGGGCCAGGCATACCAGTACGCCGTTCTCCCATTCGGGTTAGCTCTGTCCCCTCGCGTCTTCACGAAGATCGTCGAGGCAGCCCTTGTTCCCCTTCGTTAGCACGGGGTTCGCATCCTGAATTATCTCGACGACTGGCTGATATTAGCACACTCTCGAGCTCAGGTTTGCGAACACAGAGACCTGGTGCTCCGGTCACCTAACCCGTCTGGGCCTTCGGGTCAACCGGGAAAAGAGCAAACTTTGTCCCGTGCAGAGGATCTCTTTTCTCGGCATGGAGATAGACTCGGTCGCCATGTCCGCGCAGCTCACGAACGAGCGCGCGCACTCACTGCTGGCTTGCCTTCGACAGTTCGAGGGCAAGAGTGCGGTTCCACTGAAACTATTTCAGAGGCTCCTGGGGCATATGGCATCCGCGGCCGCGGCAACGCCGCTCGGTTTGCTTCATATAAGACCGCTTCAGCTGTGGCTTCGCGATCGAGTCCCGAGGTGGGCATGGCATCGCGGTTCGCTCCGTGTTCCAGTGACTCCAGCGTGCCGCCGAACCTTCTTCCCGTGGTCGAACCTCACCTTTTTACGGACCGGCGTCCCTATTCAGCGAGTTTCCAGGCATCTCGTTGTCTCCACGGATGCATCTACCACGGGTTGGGGTGCCATGTGCAATGGGCATGCAGCCGCCGGTTCCTGGACAGGAGCCCAGCGCCTCATGCACATCAATTGCCTCGAGCTGTTGGCAGTACGGCTCGCCCTGCACCGCTTCCGAGCGTTGCTCAAGGGCAAGCATGTGCTTGTCCGCTCAGACAACACTACGGCAGTAGCGTACATCAACCACCAGGGGGGTCTACGCTCGCGCCAGTTGTCGCAGCTCGCCCGCCACCTCTTGATATGGAGTCAGAAGCACCTGAGGTCCCTTCGTGCAGTTTACATTCCTGGAGACCGGAACTGGGCAACCGACGAGCTGTCCCGGGCCCGTCCCATCTCCGGCGAATGGCGACTCCATCCCCAGTCGGTCCAGCTGATTTGGGACCAGTTCGGGGAGGCACAGATAGACCTGTTCGCCTCTCGGGACACGTCCCACTGCGCCCAGTTTTATTCTCTGACCCGCGGCTCTCTCGGCTCGGATGCGCTGGCGCACAGCTGGCCACGGGGCCCACGCAAGTATGCGTTTCCCCCAGTGAGCCTCCTTGCACGGGTGTTGTGCAAGATCAAGGAGGACGAGGAGCAGATCTTGCTGGTAGCCCCCTATTGGCCCACCAAGACATGGTTCTCCGAACTCATGCTCCTCGCGACAGCACCTCCTTGGCCTATTCCTCTGAGACCGGACCTACTCTCTCAGAGACAGGGCACTTTGTGGCACCCTCGTCCCGATCTTTGGAGGCTGCACGTGTGGCTCCTGGACGGGACAAGGCAGGTTTGAGTTCGCTGCCACCTGCGGTGGCGGCAACCATCACTTCCGCAAGAGCGTCGTCCACGAGACACCTTTATGCGTTGAAGTGGAACCTCTTCGTCAATTGGTGTTCTTCTCGCGGAGAAGACCCCCGGAGATGTTCGATCAGTGTCGTGCTTTCCTTCCTGCAAGAGGGGTTGGAGCGTAGGCTGTCGCCCTCCACCCTTAAGGTTTACATCGCGGCCATTGCCGCTTCTCATGAAGCAGTGGAAGGTAAGTCCTTAGGGAAGCACGACCTGGTCATCAGGTTCCTGAGGGGAGCGAGGAGGCTGCATCCGCCTCGTCCTCCCCTCGTACCCTCTTGGGACCTCTCGGTAGTTTTAAGTGCTCTGCAGAGGTATCCCTTTGAGCCTTTGCAATCGGTAGAGTTAAAGTTTCTGTCCATGAAGACAGCACTCCTGGTTGCATTGGCCTCCATCAAGAGGGTGGGGGACCTGCACGCATTCTCCGTTGACGAAGCGTGCCTGGAGTTCGGGCCGGCTTACTCTCACGTGATCCTGAGACCCCGGCCTGGATATGTGCCCAAGGTTCCCACCACTCCCTTCCGGGACCAGGTGGTGAACCTGCAAGCGCTGCCCCCGGAGGAGGCAGACCCAGCCTTGGCACTGCTCTGTCCGGTACGTGCTCTCCGCACCTATGTCGACAGAACGCAGTGTTTTAGGACCTCAGACCAGCTCTTTGTCTGTCATGGAGGGAGCCAGAAGGGAAGGGCTCTCTCAAAGCAACGGCTGTCCCACTGGATAGTGGATGCCATTGCTTTGTCTTACCAGCAGCAAGGCCTTCCGTACCCCCTTGGTGTGACGGCCCATTCCACTCGGAGTGTAGCCTCCTCTTGGGCTTTAGCGCACGGCGCCTCGCTAACAGACACCTGCAGAGCTGCAGGCTGGGCGACACCCAACACCTTCGCCAGATTCTATAATCTGCGAATTGAGCCGGTATCCTCTCACGTACTCGTTTCGGCCAGTTCTGGATCCGCTCAGGTGTCTTCGCTTGCTCGCCACTCCACTCCCCGGACTGGATAAGTGCGATATTTCCTCAGTTCTTCCATTGAAGTCTTGAGTCCTCCAGCACCGACGATGCGGGCACCACTGCTGTTGCTCTGGATGCTGGCTAGGTGCCTCCATGCGCACGGTTCCCCATGGTAACCGTCTCATGTGTATTATCCACTGTAAGCCTCTCTGAGCATGTGTCTTCCCTTGGCAAGCCATCTGCCACCCCTGGAGTTGAAATTAGTAGCCACCTGCGGTTGGTACTCCAGTGTTCCATATGTGTTCCTATGTGGCCATATGTGTATTCGTAAGTCCTCCCTTCGGTAGGCAGCTGGTAGCATGTCCCTTCCGGGATATGTTTCCCATTGTACCTTGGTAATCCTGTGTCAAAGTCGGATCCCCAAAAAAAAGAAAAAAAAAAAGAAAAAGAGGTAAGGCTCGGGGGTCCAGACTTTCGCAGGGCACTGGAAGACAGCTTGAAGATGGCGTGATGGCACAGACCCCCAATCTCCGTCACTTCTGACGTAACTCGAAGTGACTACGAAAGGGAACGTCTCGGTTACGTATGTAACCCTCGTTCCCTGAGTAGGGGACGGAGACGTTACGTCTCCCTGCCACTTCTGCTGTATCGCTGGGTAGATGCCGAGTTCAGTCTTGGCTCCTCAGCGAAGACATACTGCGGTTGCGTTCACTTCCTCCTTTTATACTCACGGAGTAGGGCGGAGTACGCTATGCAAATTTCCGCAGCCCCAAGGCATTGCATGCCATTGGCTCGTGTTTAAATACTCGAAGAGGATTGGCTTTCTATGCGAAATCCCCCAATCTCCGTCACTTCTGACGTAACGTCTCCGTTCCCTACTCAGGGAACGAGGGTTACATACGTAACCGAGACGTTTTCCTCTGGCGCTCTGAATACGGTTCAGCAGTGTAATTGTCACGGGTGACAAAATCGCTCAGTAAACGTAACCTTCTTGAGAGTCCTGAGTTTCCTAGGGGAACGTATTGGGTGCAACACTCCACTACGGTTCCGGGTGTGATGGAAACATGCCCGTACTGATTAGCGCTAATGCATGGCAGGTGTGAGAGAGAGAGGAGCGGCGCTCACACAGGCTTCCTGTTTCATAAGCCACAATATAAAAGGAGCATTTAGAGAGTGTTTGCAGCGCGGTTGGTGGGTGTACAGTGGGTCAAGATTCCAAAGGGTTGACAAGAGCAGACATTAAAGTGGGTTGACTCTGGGCAGTGCTGGATACAGGCTTCCTTGGAAAAATCGTTGGAGTGTGGAGATTGCCCATTCGAGTTTGCAGATTGATCGTTGTGGGAGGACTGCTGGACCGAGCTAGGGCTGGATCTGTGCTGTGGAAGGAGAGAGGAAAGATAAGTGAATTGTTTTCATCCTATGAACATTTGAACCACTTGAAGAGGATACAGTGAATGTGGATCTGACTGTTGGAGGAGCTATGTGTTTCAGAGTGTGATGAGGAGGAATTAAAAGTGAAAACCCTGTAAACGAGCGCAACGGACGGAGTGGGGCCTCTGTCCAACCCTATCGTGTGAGTGAATTGCAGTGCTTTTGCCTTATTGATACACATTGATTTATTGCTGTGGAATTGAAGTGAACACAAGTGTGCTGTGTCTTTGTTGAGAAGTGGCCCCCATCCATGCTTACACGTTCGTGGAAGGTTATTATATCTGCCCCCGTCAGAAGCCCAGAGTGATACAGTGAACTGAAGAGTGAGTACTTTGTACTGTGAAGATCCCCACCTGTTCTACTTGCTGTTTGAGCCCAGAAGCATACAGCACCGCTGGTAAAGTAACCTTATGACTCACTGTCTCCCTATTG